ACTTCCACCTATAGTGACGAGCAAAACTGTAACATGGTGTAACACTTTTTACTTCAGGCATCGCTATCTTTCCAAGTTCTAACGACTTTCATACTTTTGTGGGTACATCCCTACTCCCTCTTTCATAACGATTTGAAGTCAATACAACAACAATAAAAAAAACCAGCAGAGAAAAATGTAAATTAAGGCCGATGTTACAGTTTTGCACTCATATATTTTTAAGAACTTTTTACCAAATTTTCACGAAAAAAAGAACTACTAACACAATTGTAAATGATGATTTTTATTTAAATAAGAAGTACATAGAAACGGTGTTTTATTTGTATTAATGATATAATGTAAAAGTAAATGAAATATTGTCTCAGCTCGAATACTGCGATTGCGCGGAAGAATACGTGTGATCGTCTTTGCGGTCGTTCTACAACTAACTCTCGTTCCTGTCTGTGACAGCTCGGCCTTTCCTGACTTAGTCCTCACAGGACGACTCGTCGCTATCGTAGTTCCCATTCAATTCCGGACTCTTGGCACACCATGGCTTCAAATGGTCAGCTGACATTACATTGGAGTATCGTCTCTGAGTTATTGTAACATCCGGTAGATCTTCGACGATATACCGGTCATAGTCGAGTACCTTCGTTATCATATATGGACCCTTATACGCAGGATCAAGTTTATGCGATTCGCCTGTTGCCGTTGGGACATGGTCGACCACCACTAAATCGCCAACCTCATATTTCTTAGGAGACTGGTGCTTTTTATCGTATCTCTCTTTCCACTTATTACGCTCTGTCATAATTCTTGTTGCTGCATCATTGCGTTTTACGTCAATGCCTGACATATCGGTGACCTCATCATGTATTGCTTGTACCATACGATTATACGTTACGTCTCTAGGGTTAAAATAAAAGACCAATTCGTTGGGAGTGTAACCTGTTACCTCATTCTTTTGGGAATTCAGACTCCGTTGTATCGTAGTCAGCGATGTATCCCAACTTTTGTTCTCGACAACGGTGCATTTAAGCACTTGTAGCAACGTTTTGTTAACGCGTTCGGCGTTCTAACAGCGGTTTTGACGTGTTGTATGCCTCGCGTTTCGATGAATGCTTGAAATTTCGCTGAGATGAAAGCTGTGCCCCGATCGGACGTGATCCGAATAGGTTGACCAAAGATTGCCATCATTTCTTCTAAGGCCTTGATGACTGGTTCGGTTTTGGTATTTCTGGTAGCCTTTAGTACGACGTATTTGCTAAATCCGCATACTATCACAAGTACGTACACAAACCCTGACCTGCTCTTGGGGAACGGCCCCACATGGTCTATATATACGTGCCTAAATGGAATCGGCAGTACGTCCATAACGTGTAGTTGACTCTACTTACGACCCCCTTTGACTTTGTTGAGACAGCACTCCTCGCACGATGCTATATACGACTTTACATATCTTCGCATTCGTTGAAACCAAAAATGTTTTGCGATGCGGTTGAGTGTTTTCTCCAGCGCGAAATGCCCAACGTCGTCGTGGTTTGCCTTTGTAATACGCCACCTAACAGCTCGAGGTACTACTAACTTGTACTCCTGACCCACCTTTCGGAATAGTCGATTGTCACGTATTTCGTAGTCAGCTTTTACTTGCGTAGCTAATGACTCGTCTACATCTCCAACGCCTTTAAGGACTGCACATACCTGTCGTAGTTTTGGATCTTGTGTCTGCATGACGTACACCCAATCGTCGGACTTCATTAGGTGACTCACTTGTAATACTCGTTCAGCTACTGTGTCGGGCTGAGATGGTGACTCCACCGGTGCCCTGCTTAAACAGTCCACATGCTGCATCTTGCTTCCGGCGCGATGAACACAATCGAAGTCAAACTCTTGCAATCGTAGCCACCACCTGGCTACTCGTGGACGCAACGGTGTAAGATTCTTTGTTGTGGCTACAGCGTTACAGTCGGTTCTCACTGGGAAGTGCGTACCCAGTAGGAACATACGGAACCTCTCAAGGGACTCGACGATGGCAAGTACCTCCAATTCGTGGCTTGAATATTGCGTTTCGACCGAACTACATTGCCGGCTGTAATATTGGACTGGTTTCCATTCGCCGTCTTCTTGCTGCAACATTACACCTGATAACCCGATTGTACAGGCATCAGTATGCACTTCGTGTTGTTTGGTCACATCAAACATGACCAATACTGGTTTCGTTGTTAAAGCCTGTTTCAATTTGCCGAATGCCTTGTCGTGATCGAGAGTCCATTCGAACTTGGCACTCTTTCGTAGTAGCGTGGCTAATGGTTTCGCTATTATACCATAGTGTTGGACAAATTTGCGGAAAAATCCCGTGAGCCCCAGAAACTGCCTTACCTCTGTCGGTGTACGTGGCTGTGGAAACTCCGTAATACTTCTCACATTTTCTTCGCCTGGTCTGATGCCTTTTGCATCGACGACGTGACCCAGAAACTTGATTGTTGTTGCCAGGAAATAACATTTTGACGGCCTTAGAGTGAGTGCTGCTACCCTTACCGCTTGCAAAAATTCCGACAACACTTCGATGCTTTCGTTGACAGATTTGGTTGCGATAATCACCTCGTCTACGTAGCTGACAATATGGTTACGATGCTTCAGGGTTCGGATCAGTCGCACGATCATCTCCTGAAACACCATCGGAGCGTTGCGTAACCCGAACGGCATAACGTTGTGTTCGAACAACCCTTCTGGCGTAAGGAAGGCCGTGTATTGTTTGCACTCTTCCTTCAATGGTATTTGATAATACCCAGATGTCATGTCGAGCGACGTAAAGTGCTGGTTACCCACCAGCTTTGAAAGCTGCTCTTCCACCACTGGCATCGGGAAGTGCTTTTTGACAGTGACCGCATTGAGCGCCCGGTAGTCGACGCACATTCTGTCTTCACCGTTTGCCTTTTGTACCAAAATAACCGGTGCTCCATGTACCGATGAACTGTATCGAACAATGCCGTGATTCATCAGATTCTCTATAATCGTAGATAATGTGGTACGCTGAGATAGGGGTACTTGATAACGTTTCCCCACTACCGGTTGATCCGTTGAAATAACGATGTCCATCTCCGTTGTCTTGCATTTGCCTAACTTTGCCAAATCCTCAGCAAAGCAATCGTCGTACTCGTTAAGCAAATCGCCTACTTTTGCGACTACATCAGTCGGCAAATCGTTGTTGACTTTAAACGTATTATCGGTCTTCTTATGGAGCTGCATCACCCCCGCTTCGATTGTTAACCTGTAATCGTTTTGGCACAGTACATCTGTACCAATAAGAATGTCAAATGTCATGAACTTATCTGGAACGATCTGACAGGTGGTCAAGATCGTGACTCCATCGACGACAATGTCTACGTTGATAGCCTCTACGCTGCTTATTACCGCACCACCAAATCCTATGACCCGCTTAGTTGACGCTATTCGTTGCACCTCCGCTGGAACCTTGGATGCCGCAATTAGTGACACATCACTACCCGTGTCGATCAAGGCGTCATAACGTTTGCCTTTCCACTCGACCACTTTTGTGACAGGCTTTAGTACACCACTAGCTTCACTTTGCACTTCGGCTACTGTTAGTTTATCGACCTTGCATAATTTGGCCTCGTGACCAACCTTGTTGCATTTGCTACATCTCGGCTTCCGCTGTGGCTGTGTACATTTCGATGCGATATGTCCCAGTTCGTTGCAGTTGTAGCATTTGATCGGCTTCTTCTCTGACGCGGATTTTTGCACTTGCTCGTTGCTGTTCTTCTCATAAGACGCACTAGATCTTGTCGAGCTTGACGTGGGCATGATAGCCATAGCTTCTAGTGACCGGAGTAGGCCATTGCAAGTTGGGAGATTCATCGCAAGTAACGTGCGCGACAAATATACATCGTTTAGCCCCGAAATTACATACGAATTTATGGATTCCTCATCCATCTTGCCTCGTCTACCCATGCTCAGCATTGCATAGTAGTACTCCTCTAACGTTTCTCGTGGTTGACGCTTACGTTGTGCCATTTCACGGTGCACTTGCGCCGACATGATTTTCTTCGGAAAATCTTTCAAAAATAAAGGCCCGTCCACATAGAACTTTGGCGTTGCGTTGGCATTGGCGTCGCTTCAACAACTGACAATGAATACATGAATTCAAATGCAGCCGTCCACATAGCCAAAATTCGACAACGCTCACGCCAACATAAAGCAAAAAGATGGCCAACTCTCAACTTTTCGCGTGCGTCGCTCGTCAGCTGTTGCGAATAAATAAAATTAGGTGAAATATTTTTACTTTTTAATCAAGTGCGGGCAAGAAATATCGTTTTTAATGCAATTATTGATATGAAATATTAATTTATCTGTCGTTAATATGTTAATTTAGTGGCCCAAGGATTCGCTGCCAAGCGTTCATTGTAGCCAGCATACTTTTAACGTGCGTTCTGTCAAACCAACGCCAACGCCAAAGCCAACGCGAAAGTTCTATGTGGACCGGCCTTTATTGTACAAACTCTGGCCATGAATGAAACACTTGCTGTGAATCTAACCAGGTTTTCGCTACACCTTTCAGGTTCAATTGCGCTGCTACTAAAATCTCCTTTTCAGACCAGCCGTATATGCCTTGCAGTTGTACTATCTTCTCGACAAATACCTCGGAACTTATGCTGCCTTTCAAAGGGTCGTTCGTAGGTAGTAGTGCGCTTATTTCGTGTACACTAGCTGGGCGTTGTAGTGCTGCCGTTGCTTGACGTGCCGTTGCAGACTCTTCGTTTCCCAATACCGGTGTCGTTATTCGTTGTGGTTCCTCTGTGGTAAGTTTTGCCTGCCTGCGTTACGTGCAGTAGCAAGTTCACCAACCGTTTTCGTCAATTC